GCATACTGTACATGATTGTATTGTGTTGGTAATGGTACCAGTTTTTATTAAGTCAATAAATGCTCTGAAACTTAATTAATTGGGATTAAAGTTTATTTGGATTGGATTTTGATTTATTCGGTGTAAACACCAAGGATAGCCCACAAAAGTCTAGAAGAAGACTTATTACCAGTGGGATCCTTGGTGGTGATTGGGCAGCACACCTGGAGACAATCCCCTACTCTTAGTGTACTGCGTTCTTTAACGTGCACATTTGCCATAATTGCACACAGGACCAACGACTTAAACGTCTCATCAGAAAGACGGTGCGCTATTGTAACTTGTATTTCAGCCCTCCAGCTGAAGCACAAGGAGTGGCAGCGATGGGAATTAAACCGGGGACCTAGAGATCTCCACATTTCAACGCACACACAGTGGCTACCGCAAGATTAGACGACTGAGCTAAGCTGCTAATTTAATAGTCAACCCGTAGACCATAGTCAATAGAAAAATGCTTAGACTGCCAGAAAATCCACCACAATATTCTATACTGCTCTGAATTTTACATGTTGCATGTTACATGATTGAATTAACACCATATTTTGAACAGGCTCAATAAACATTTGCATTATTTAATACAGTATTAAGAGAGAAACATGCATTGAGTCAGACTCATTTCATTTTCATTGTGTATATTTATGATTTATACAGAGCATTACTGTGAGTGAGGAGTCTCATAAGAAAAAATCTGTTAATACGGTAATTTATATCTCTACATTTAAATGTGTTAATAGTGTGGTTTTGTAAAATATATTGGCCTACATATCTTAGAAAATATTGTTTTTATTTATGTTTATTCAATTTTATTGTGTAACACATGAAAGTCAGTTTTTCATTGAAAAACGAATGTAAAACACCATCAGCTTTATGGTAAAAATTACAGTACTTCGGAAACCACATACTTTAAAATTTTAGATCACATCATATTGGACATAATCAAATGCTTGATCACAATTAAGCATTTATTTCATTATTTTAATCAAGAACTGTTTCTTTAATGTGTCAAAGCTGGTATGTACACTGGGTAAATCAGACTTTTTAAATAATGTTGCCTTGAAAAGAAAATAATTATGTATATAATTATTATGACATTTTTGAATTATAAGTTTCATATTAAAATACAAATGTATTTTAAAAAAATGAAGATTGAAATACCGGTCCAAAGTAACCCACTAAAAATAAATTAAGTATCTGTTTTTCAAAGTACATCTTTAATTGTACATACTGTGTGAACAGTACACGTAACAAATATGTTATAATTATTGTATGGTTTCTCATCATTGAATAAATGTCATTAGAATCTGAATTTGATTTTTTTTTTCTCTTATTTCCCTAGTATCAAGCTTTGTTCCCTTTCTGTGAGTTGGGTGTATTTATTGGCAACATCAGGCCTGTTTTTGTCAAATTGAAAAAAAATGAAATGAATATATAATAAACTTACCACGCTTCCCATCATTCTCGTCTCCATCTTTTTTAACTTGTATCCCCTTTGGCTCTGAAATTATCTGACTATCATAATGAATTTTAAGATGATTAATCTGAAAAAAATAACAAACATGTATTTACTGCAGGTACTGGTACAGGCATTTATATTTTGGATATAAAACAAAATTCTTTTCCCTGGTCATTGGGTACACATTCTTTAAGTGAGCAGGCAACCCCAACAGGTACCCATTTATACAATAAACTTTAACAAGGTGAGAAAGAATTCATCAAGTGGCACTTCATGTCGTCACACTTCCTATCATGTTCATCTCCCTTATGTCTTTTTTAACTTGTATCTCTTGCTCTTTTCTCCATACTGACTTCAAGTTAGCCTAAAAAAAAATAGTTAAATAGCAAACATGTATATAATAATTAATTTTACTTTCATTTTATTTGAAATACTGTACTTTATACACCATTTAAGTGAGATCCTTGACATATCTTTGCTTTGCGGTCAGAAGGATACAAAAGCTCATGTAAATCAGGATTGGGGCTTATTACTTTCCAGTGACCATAGCTGATACACATGTGGGGAGTCATATTATTATATTATTTTGGTATGACAGTAACCACTTCCTTCACTATGTTCTGCTTTCTATTATGTGGCTCCCTAACATGGAGTGGCATATCTTTTGAGAACTGACATGAGAAAGGAGGCTGATTATCAACTACTTTAACATAATTTTTTTGGCAGGGAGGGGAGGGAAGGAGAGGGAAAGAGAAAAAAGGAAAAAAAATGGTAAAAAGAAAAGGATAATAGTATTAAACAAGACTTTATTACTATATGTCTATTTGTAAATAGAACATTAGGCTTTTACTCATTGCCATAATGAGAAGTGATGTTGAAATTACAAAAAATATTAAAAAAAAAAAAAAAAAGTTGACATTTATGAATAAACTAAAGATCAGCATCTTACCCTACTGATCAAAGCTACCTACTGTACAAAAACAAAGAAAGCTCCTTTGAAGCTGTCAGCCCATTGTTAAGCAATGGGTGTAGTCTACGTATAGCAACACTTCTTTAAACAATAGTATAGACAAATTTTGCGAACTTTCAATAATGTTAGTAGGCCTATGTATAAATTTAGGTTCATTTAATTTATTGAGTACATGGTTAACAGCTTTTAAAGGGTACCCATTCCATGACATAAATTTTCTAATATTCTGTTTGAATTTTATCGGTAGTACGCAGTTTGTGGGCTCTTGAAACTAAACTACGAATCCAAGAAATCTTATAGTTCCATGGGGCAAAGCTATCATAATGAATATATTGACCTGTATGTGTATTTTTACGATATATGCTCATGCTTCCTATGTGCTGCTGTCAAATTACTGTATAAATCTAGAGAATGTACTATATCATTGTTTTCAAATGATTCAAAGGTAATGTGATGAATATAGATTCATATAGGAGGCCCTCTGTTGGTTCATACATATATATAACATACCTTGTAGTATAATGGTAGAGTCCCGAAAGTTTAGTGCGGTAAAGAACGAGTGTTGCGCGTTGTAAACTAGGGACGCCATACTGTAGGAGTACATGTTGTTAATGGAGAGCGTCCATTTGAATTTAGGAAGTCGAATTACACCGTTTTACTATGCCTTAATTTAGCTGTTGTGGGACTGGTATGTACATGATTTGTTGTGGAATATATAGTTGTACTATAGATATGAACAGCACAGTAATATTAGTGATTTGGAATTAGAAGCATTCCATCGTAACTTTGTGCTAGACCACAGGCTGCAACATAAGTAGGCAAGGAGTCAGTCTAACTAATGCATGTAGCCTTTACGTATTTTATCTTTATATTTGTTGTTCCTGTTTATAATATTATTGCGGCTGTGTACAGTCATAATTATAGAAGAACACTGTTTGATTATTGAGCTATAATCATAAGTCTAAGCAATTGTTAGATTTAGTAATGTAGTGACGGTTTGATAAGCAATAAGCCTATGTAATACATCGCATGTTAACATTTGATGATACACCGTCGCGAGTGACTCGTCACGCTTGACTGCACAAATGAATATTTATGAAGTCATAGGATAGGCTGATACCATTGGTATTGTCGAGGTGCAGTGGGTTTCTTATTGCCTAATTTAATTGTTTAATCATTGTTTTTACTTATTTTACAGTAATTTTACATCTTAATGACAGTTAATAAATATATACCAAAAGGCAAAAGTGTTGTTGTCGAATATCATCGAGTCAGTAAAATACGCCCGACGTAACAGGTAAAATTAATCATCTGTTTATGAAAAGTGTTAAAGCGACGTAGGATGTGATGGTAATCATTAGGTTTTGCATGGCGAAGAAATAATATATGTTGAAGCTTGCGGTACACCACGTAAGTAGTTCTGAAAAGAACTGTTGTAGTTGAGAAAGTCTCGACGTTTCGATTGAGATGCTTCAATCGTCTTCAGGAGAATAATATCTGCAGACACTCCAAACAGGGAAATACTTATATGTTTGGGTAGAGAGGCTGGATGGTGGTAAACTGACCAATGGGTGAAAGGCTAAAACACAAGCTGGATGGAGATTGGATGGATAAACTGACCAATGAGAAGGCTGCTAGTGAAAGGCTAAAACAAAAGCCATTATTCACGAAAACAAAACAAAAGGGTGGGAACGCCCAAACTAGCACTAGTGTGTCGTCAACAAAACGAATATAAAACTTAATAATACCTGATTCTAAAAGTTTAGGAACAATAGACTCTTCTAGTTCAGTCATTAAAATATTGGCTAATACTGGTCCAAGGGTGAGCCCATTGAAACGCAATCAGTTTGTTTATAGAATTTATTATTAAACTTAAATACAGTTTTAGTACAGCAATCCCTAAGTAGTTTCCTTAACGTATTTTTCTTAAGATTAGGAGATACCAATTTCTTATTTTAAACCTTATTTTCAAAAGAAACATAAACATTTCTCTAGACCAAAATGTACAGATCATAATGAAAACTTTTCCCCTATTTTTGACAAAAGCTCATCAGGTAAATTTGACCTACATCTTATGCATGAACGCACTAACCGCATAAAACTCAAAATCCATAGCTGCTATTGGTTTAAAGCGTGTGACATCATTCATAGAGAGGGTAAAAACAGTTCTAAATACAAAATTTTAAAGACAAAATGATCACTGGTTATTTAACCACCCAGTATGAGACGTATATGTCAATAAAGCTTAATTTACTGTTTACCCTGAAGTTTAGCGACCTATTGTGCAGAGTTATGTTAAGAAGAAGCAGAAGTATACCAAAAAAACACTATAATTTTAACCTTTTTCCTATGTAAAAGCAAAGATGTTGTCAACTCTAAAAGAAAAATGATCACTCAATTTTGCATTAATTGTAAGAATATATAAATGATTATAAAGCTTAAAACATGTAGTTTTATAATCCGATCGTCCCAGATTGCCAAATGAAACCATTCAAATTATATAGTTGATTTTGTAAGAAAAAGGGGTCTCATTTTCACTCATTTACTGTGTAAAGGTGTGCAATGAACCGTTCAGTGAGCAGATGTTTTAAAGTTTTCATTAGCTAAATAAAAATGGCTTAACCGAAAAATGGCCCAACACCCCCCTCCCAATATTAAATGGCCCCAATTCACAGATAGGTAAAATTAAGTCTTCACTGCTGGGATATTTTTCAAAATTATTTAATATTAAGAAATATTTATGTACACTACAGTAGGCCTATTTATATTTAAGACCACATATCTGCAAATTTTCATAATTTTTATATCCGACCCTTGTTGCTATTGAGTCATTCCATATGGTTCCAACACACTTTTTTGCCCAACCCCCTTGAAATCGCCCAATATTTTGCCTGTTGGGGGGTCTACCTGAGATAACCTCACAGTGAGTCTTTTGGCTCCCCGCCAGCATTTTCTGATGAGTTAGAGCAATTTGAAATTTTCATGAGATTTGGCTAAAAAACTCACCTTCTGACAGACAACTGCTGTTTTGCATTTGGAGTACTAAATGTTTATGCCTAGCTAGGCTACACCCAGTCTATAACTTATAATACACAAAAGAATAAAATAATAGTAATACAAAAATTCTTGGCATCCTAAACCTATTGTAGAGCAACATCAAGACAAACAACCCATTGTGCACCCCACCTTGCAATAGTATAGTCCATTGTTGGGTGGCTTTGGACGGGACGTGGATTTTAACAGGGGTGGCTTATTTCCTACATTTTTTTTTTCCTATTCAAAAAAAACAAAAATAAAAATAATTATACAGATACCCTTCTCTTTATCACTAAAAATTTGGAGGACAAAAAACCAAAAAACCAATTAATGAAGCAATTAAACACAGGTGGTACGAAATATAATACAGCATGATAGACTTCCAAATATATTTAGTGAATTGACTATTACTGAATATTAAACTCACAGTTCAAAATGTCTGCATCACTGATTGATTTTGTCTAGCCTCACCGATTGATTTTGTCTAGCCAAGCATATAGTACACAATAGCAGCACTGGAGTGATACAACACCAACACGTAATAAAAATACAACCATTGTACATTCCAGTCACAATACAGTATAAGGTACTAACACCTCAGCGTAATCTAAAGAACAAGTCTGGAGGTAAGTATTTGATTTAATATAATTAATGTACAGTATGTACGGTCCTAGATATAGCATAGACAAAAAAAAAAAAAAAATGGAAAAATGGACCAGAATATTCATCTATGTAAGAAAGCTATAGTATACATTATGGTACTGTACACACTAATTCTGCTGGATAACTCTCAAGATAAAAAACATATCACAAGAGGAAACTTAACTGCTTTGACTTCAATTCAGACATTTTACAACTAGAAATTGCAAATTGCAAGTGAAGTGCTGCGAAGTAAAACTGCATAAAATGTTCTTCGAACAAAATTATTTATGCGAGTCAAGTGAAAATAATGAATAATAAAAATATAACAAATAATATGAGACACGAACCATTGTCTATATTAGAACAGCGTTGGTACCGTGTACAATAGTGTTTTGCTGCAGTGACATCTCGCTGCTGGCGACTCGCTGCTCTGCTGGCCGATGACTCGCTGCTGGCGAATCGATCTGCGCATGTGTATAAAACGGTATTTATTTCCGAAAACACTATGCCAGTCTACAACAAGCGTCGCCTAAATGTATTAATTAGCACGTTGAAATAGGCTAGTAAATAATTTTAAATGGGTTCGTAAATAATACTGGCCTCAAAATATTGTGGCTGAGACATGAGCCGATTAAACGTAGAAATAGGAAACCTAGAAATATAATAAAAACGCTGAATAGTACTCCAGCGTCGCGACATGCGGACGTTGGTACGAGTAGGTTAGTCTACAAACGTCGCCTAAAGTAATTGATTTTACGCGGCAGAACGAAAGAAGGAAACTCCGCTTTTCAATTGTCATAGGCGCAGGTTTTTTGACAAACAATGACCTTTCAGAGGTCAAATTGCTGCCAAGAAAATGAATTGGCTGCTTCGCAGCAATTATGAAGTAAAACTGACTGTCTTTAATCGTATATTATAATAATATATGTACAAAGATCTGTTTCTGATGACATTTTGCATTTTCAACCAGTTCTTCACCAAAAATCTTAAAAGTGATGTTAATGTTACCAAGATATTTTGGATATTATTGTTTTCAAATGAATCTCATATTTTTATCAGCCAATAGTAAACTGAGAAAGGAAAAAAAAACACATACTGTTAAATGCTTTATAAAATATAAAGTCTTAGAATCGGGTATCCGAGCTTGGGCCCGACCCATTTCTACTTGCAATGTCATTGTCTTTTGCAGTGCAAGGTAGTAGAGTCGAGGATCATTCTGAGGTGGAAGCTACGGGATCCCAGCATCTTGCCTAACAGAGTGCCTGTGTGCACCTATTTGTCAGTTGGTGGAGCCCTGTTCTGAACACCTATGATTATTTGTTCCAGGAATGAATGAGTAAATTTAGCAGCATTAACATGGCTTCAAGTCAAGGTAAACAAAAGACATTATATTATTTGATTTTAAATTTAATTTTATTCTTAATAAAATGCTAATCCTTCTTTCAAGCTGACTGCATGGTGAAAGAAATGTAACCTTTCACCTTCACCAATTTAGGTAAGAATTATAATAGCACACATTTTGTGTGAATAACAAACCGTATGTGGTATACACTTCAGGAAGTTGTGTGATTAAATCGCATGAATATCTATCAGAGACAAAGCTCCCTTATAAACCTGATAGTTTCTTTTGGACGGAGACAATATAGTATAGCAGGCTGGTTGTCTCTAGGATAAAATGAAACAAATTTATATCGAGTAATTTAATTATTCATGAATTTAACTTCACAATCTGAATAAAAAACTCAGAACAGGCCTAGCGTAATGTAGTATTAAGGTCCAATAATATTAACATATATAATTATTGGAATTTGTATGTCTTTAATGTCTCAACTTGATAGCTTAATAGCCCATTTGAGTACACTGATCCTCTAATTATACAAATCAACCCTGTGGTCAACTGAACATAAACTTCTCATACAGTTGATTGATAATTTTGAGCCCAACTTTTGATGTTCAAATATACAGTATCTTAATTAGAAGCTTTTTGGTAAACAAGTTATTAAATCATACGGAAAGAATTTGATCCAATCAGAATTCCCAAAATTAAGAAGTGACATAGTTACTGTAGACATGCCCCAATGATACTTACTTTAAAAGAGACACCCCAATATCACTGACTCAGAACATGCTCAGAATAACAGTATTATGGTAGACTCCACTCTATTTATTTATTCACAATCTTTAACCAAGGTTGCCCAATCAGTTAAGTAGACTAGTCTCACTTGGGGCTCTGGGTACAAAAGTTTTTAGAACATATAGTAGGTTTAGATAAGAATCTAAATAAGTTCAACACTATTAACAATTAGGAACCAGGAGTTAAACTATTGTATATACATGTATGCAATCAGGGGCATTGATCGGTGGAAGACAGGGGGACACATCCCCCACTTTTTTTTATGTGTTTCCTATCTCCCTAATCTTGTTTGATCATAAATTAGATAGTAGTATTTCCACTCACAATAGTGTAGTCGCAATACCACTTGCAAAGAAGTGAAATTCAATATTAAGAGAAGAACAACCTCTTGATTGATTTTAGAAGTACTGTACATGCAAAGGGACTAAGTTAGTGACTTACTTATTTTTCATGGATCTAATCAACAGATAATAAATTACTATTTTTATAAACTTTAGTTTGCATGACATATATAAGTGGGTATGATTATGATTACCTGGATAATTTTAAAAGAGTATTTCAGTGGCAGATTCAAGGGCCCAGCCAGCCCACCCTCCCTAAATTAAAAAAAAAAAATTAAAGTGGAGAAAAAAAATTACATTCAAATTTAGTCTGACAGTGCAATTTCCGGCCAACTAGGGGTGCCATAATAATAAATTTTCTTACCTCAGCCTCAACCATGGTGGGGCTGAGGTGGTCTATACTCCATCTCTAAAAGTCCCTACCCGGGTTCCCTGTATTTCCCTGTATTTCAAATTCCTAGATCTCCCACTGTTTTTTTTAAATGCAGTGTATTTTAAATTGAGAAAAACAAGGAAGTTAAAATGTCATTTTATCCACATAACATTTAGAAAGTATAGTGTAACATTTCTTGAAAAATACTATTTGATCCTTTGAGATGACTTGACTGAAAGTAATCCCATTTTTCACTCTGGTCCCTGCTGATGAAATTGAGGGCCAATAAACCTTAAGTTAGCCTGGTTTGAAATTAAATGAGAGTTGGCATGTGCTGTTACATTAATAGTGCAGCAACTATTGCAGATCTCCTAAAGGCCAACTCAGACAGCGTCGGCCGACGCAGCCCGACCAGATTTATCGTCGGGGACAGTCTTAAGCCGTCGTGAGAAGTATTAAACATGTTTAATATTCTACTACGCGTCTGCCCCCGACGCACACCATCGCGTCTGCGTTCAACTCACACCCGACACGACCCGACAACAAATCGCGTCGGGCTGTGTCGGCCGACGCTGTCTGAGTTGGCCTTAAGTCATCTGATGTGGTATACGGTATATATGGCCATCCCTCAATTAGACAGAACAGCAGGCATTGTAGTCAACTCTTGTTCATAAATAAAATGATAGACTCTTTGGTGTAATTAGTCAGCTTTTTAGTTGTAAGGGTAGTTTAAATTTATTATTTTATTTTAATTTTTAAGTGAAAAAATCTGCCACTGATTATAAATCTCAGTTTTTACTGCTTCTGTAAATATGATTCATACTACTATAGTATTTATTTTGATACTTTTTATTTTCACATAGGACTCACTAAAATGGCTTTTAAACAACTTTTGACAGTTTTTTCGGATTGGTATGACCAGCGCCAATACCTCAATATGCTTAAAGTTTTGTACAGGGACCTTGTGGGAGATATAAATAAATTGAGCAACGCTGGTAAGACAATGGAATTAATGAATTTGTTGAATGCTTCTGGGAATTTGAGTTCGACTGACCTCAACATCCTGTATGATACTATAAAGGCAACATGCACATTTGGTTTGGAAGATACAATTAAGTGTGAAATACCATCGTGTCCAAACATTAGAGATGCAACAATCACAAAATTCACACCTCACAGACAAAAGATTATAAAGCTTGGATTGGCGCTGAGTGATGAGGATGTAGTAAGAATCAGTGGACTATATAATGAAACATCAAAGGAATATGTGGATCCATGGAGTTTGATTATTGATTTAGAAAATCGAATGAAAATTTGTGAAAGAAATATGGAAGAATTCATTGAAAATTTGAAGAAATCTGAACTTTTCAATGCGGTACAAGCTCTAACAGAAGGTATTACTTTATATATTGCTGTTTTGATAATTTAAAATATATTGTTTTAAATTCCACAAAAAAAAAAAAAAAAAAAAAATTTTTTAAAAACCAAAAAAAAAAAAAAAAAAAAAAAAAAAAAAAAAAAACTTTTGCTATAAACATATAAATCAGTCATTCCTCACCAAAGATCTCCACTGGCATACTTACAATGAAATTGACTTTGAAGTGTTAACGGTAGGTGTATACAGCACGTTTTAATCCCAACAGTCTTCTATCTTGTATCTCTTCAAGTGCTTCATCAGTCTTTCCATCCACAATACCCTATTTAAAAAAAGAAAACTCAACTAATTTTAACTTACAAATCAAACACAACAAACCAAAGTGAATTTTTATTTTTTTTGAGAGCAGCTTAGCTCAGTTGGCTATTAATCTGGTAGTAGCCACTGTGTATGCGCTGAACCATGGAGATCTCTAGGTCTCTAATTGTGTTTCAGCTAGAGGGCTGAAATACAAGTTACAATAGTGCACCGTCTTTCAGATGAGACGTTTAATCCGTTGGTCACGGGTGCATTTATGGCCCATGTGCATGTTAAATAACGCAGTACACTCTACGGAAAAAAGTAGGGGATTGTTTTCCTGTGTACTGCCCATATCACCACTAGAAGGACCCCACTGGAAATAAGTCTTCTTCTAGACTTTCGTAGGCTATCTTTGGTATTTACACCAAATAAATCCAATCCAATCCAATAATTAAAATGTGAAGTGTAGAATTATTTGTCATTAATACTCTAGTCATATTAGGAATTTTGGACATTACTGAAAATGATATTATCTCAGCAGATATTGTAGAGAGTTGATGCTTATACTTCAAATTGTATGTTGGATTTACATTGATATCTCAAAAACATTCAGATACATTTAGGTACTATTTTCAGGTATACCTATTACTGTGTCTATAGCTGCAAAGCTTTCAACCGAAGGGTTTGGATTTGAAGAAATTTAAAGAAGGATCAATCATATTTTATTTATCTGCACGTGATTCTAAAGCCTTAGTCCATTTATGGGAAATACATTCAAGCAAGGTACTCATCCAAGAGTTAGCAAAAATATTAGTACTACAAAAACATCAGCAGGAGTTTTTAGATAAATGCAAGACGTATATTGATCCAAGGAGTTACGAAGCTGCTCTCAGTCTCAGTAGGCTAAAGGAAAAAGGTGAGAATGTAAAGTCTTCTCTATGAAAAGGGAAAGCAATAAGCATATGAAATTTGTGTAAATTTTTTCAATAATACCAGAATATCTGCCCCTTCAGTTAAATTGGTCTACCATTAGAATCCTTTAATTCTTTTTTCACTGTTTTGTAACTGTAATTATCACAAACAACAGTTTATTAGGCTGTATCGTCGTACGTACATACAGTATGCATTGACAAGGCCTCTCCAAAGTAGCTCTAGCTAGGGGCCTAGCTACTAAGACCTAATACTACTAGCCAAGTAGTAGCCTGCTAAACTGCACTGTGTCGAGAGATACACTGAAGAATGACAGCATATGGTACCATGCTCTATCCATTGTTATTACATCCATTATTAACAATCAGATAAAAAAAATTAGTCACACAGAAACTGACAGCAGTAAGGCCTCACCTGGCTAGTGGGTTGGGGGGGGGGGCTTTATTTTACCACCACCACTACTGCCCCAACACACTTCACTCCACTCCTCTTAAAAAACACACAAAACTTGAAATCTCTTTTAATAAAATAATTCCTAAAAAATATATTCATACTTACCAACCACCAAACACAATCTACTTTAAAAAAGTTACACTAACACGAAAGTTTCACTTGGATGAGTTAATTAGTTTTTGAGATATCTAATCTGTGACGATTTGCTTTTAAGGGTCCATATCTATCGACGCCAAAATATAATCACTTCATTTTTCGAAAGCCTTCCATCATATCAATTGTACACCTGACAATTCCTTACATGTTCTGAATTTAAAAACAAACTAGCATGTTTTACTTTTTATAGCTGAAAAACAATATGCATGCAAATAATGTATTGGTGTTGAAATGGAAATAGAAATATTGGTTTTGGATAAGTTCAGAGATAACATTCAAATACCTTAGTTAGCTCTTTATTAATAATTTGGAAAAGATTGGCTATATTATGATTTGAATAAGATATTTGTGTCATCGGCGAAAAGAACAAAATTTAATAAAGAAACAATAAAACATAAAACAATCTCAGGTGCCTTCAGTGTAAACATAACTGGCTTCATCTCCAAAGTTTTTCAAAGCCCAAAAAAATTCTTTAAATCCATGCTTGATAAAGTTATTTGATTTTGCATTGCTCCTTTGGTGTATAATAATAATAGCAATTTTTAAAGTGCAAACATCTTCACCAAAATAGGTGCTCAAGACATTTAAAAGAATAAACTATTGGGATATATAGTGTACAGATAACATTTGGTGCTGGATGCTTTTAATTGAGACAATGTTCATGGTCAGATGCACAAACATATTTTTTCCCAGTAGCTTCCTTTTTAATGGACACTGGTACAAGTTCCTTTTTTTCATCTCAAGCCGGCGAAGTATCCCAACACCTGCTAAATAACTTTGACATCAAGTGTCAGCCATAACTGAGACTTGGCTATGTTTCAATAAGTATATAAACTGATGAATTTATTTAATGACGGCTATGTTTCATTTGTTCATATTAAGTTATATAATTATTATTATTCTATATGCATGCAATTAATCCACCAAGGATTGGTGTCACATTGAATTGATACATATCAGGTGTAATGATCGACAGTGCCACCAAAGTTTTTTGCAACTTTTCACTGGTGACATCTAGCAGAGTAGCCAGAGCAATTTTTTTTTCCAGACAAATAAATTCTTTTCAGTATAGTACAGTATTTCAAAAACGAAAAACACTGCAGGTTTTATGCACCCCTATATTCTTTTTTTCTGGCATTTTGTTTTCAAATGACTAGTCTAGGCGACAATCATAAAGCACAAATAAACACTGGTAGCTACATGTGTACACCATAATCCATGTAGGTGACAGATGATGGGCCCACAAGAAGAGTTGGCATGCTGATCTCTTTTCAATGATATCAGCATTTCACTTATACACAGGCAGCAGTTTATGTTCACAGAATATTATTAAACAAGCATCAGTTTCCTGTTTAATTTGAAGGGAAAATGATTTCATATTAGGCATAGCTGTACCTCAAAGTCTGATGTTTGCTTGCTTCTTTGTTAATATGCAGGTTTTTTAATGACAAAAAAATTTTATATCAAGATTGTTATTTGTGTGATATAACCATGGACCTATTATAGGTCCATGATATAACTGAAATTACTTAATCAAAATCCTGTTGTACATTTCTATTAACAATCAAATCCATAAACCGAAAGGTCCACTGATTAATCTCAGATAAGAAAGTATAATACATACTCCAAGTATTGAAATACACGCCATCGTGTTGGGATTCAATATTTCGACATTAATTATGTCATCATCAGGAATTCGGAAGACCTGCCAATTTGTTTGCTTAGGAAGTATGAGAAGATATCCCTACGCTTCATTAAAGCTGAATTGGATTATCAATTTTTACACAATTGTAAAACGTTTGGTATTTTCAATAAAATTCATATATACAGTATATATATATACGGCTATATACCACCATAGGGGGAAATGATAACAATGGAAAGTGTTAGAAACAATACCTTAAGGTGAAAATACTGCCGCTAAGGGGAAATTTTAACGACGTTAAGGCGACTATGTACTACCATAGGGGGGGAAATGATAACAATGGAAAGGGTTAGAAACAATACCTTAAGGCGAAAATACTGCCGCTAAGGGGAAATTTTAACGACGTTAAGGCGAAATAATATATTTACTGTATATTTCCTGATTAGTGACATTAATTATGCAAATGAGCAATTAGCATATTCACACACCTACCAAAAAATATAGGCTCTGTCTTCTTATTACCACCTTGCATTTTACCAAACTTTAGTTTCGTGGTAACAGAAATTTGTCCAACAATGACAACATGAAGAGAGTTGTTTCAACTGCAAAAAAGGTTTCATTTCAACAGCAAAAATCGAATCACTGTTTTTTGAAATGTAAAGGCACGACATATTACAATTTCAACTAAAAGTAGAAAATCTTTTATGGGAATTATGATGGTATCTATTGTATATTTCTTAATTAGTGACATATTAATTATGCAAATGAGCAATTAGCATATTCACACACCTACCAAAAACAATAGGCTCCGTATTCTTATTACCACCTTGCATTTTACAAAACTTTATTTATTGTGGTAACACAAATTTTCCCAACAATGACAACATGAAGAAGAACGTGGGTAAAACCTATAGCCTCCCTGGATCTTTGTTCCTTCGGGGAGGCTAATTAAACCAAAGATATGAACAGATATCTATGTTCAGGGGTTTAGCCAGGAAAGCATATATACAGTAGTCCAAATATTTAGTGCTAAGCAGCAGTGGAAGGGCGTGGCACTAAGTGTGTAGGGGTGTATTCCTCTAAAGATAAAAAGAAAAAGATACCATGCCCCATATCAAAACCAACGGGCCTAAATCTTATTTCGATTTTATAGGTCCCCATTTGACATAAAAAAAAAAAAAATTTTTTTGAATTTGCCCACAGCAGTGACGTACCTTAAAGTGGCTTACCTTAAAGTGGCTTACCTTAAAGTGAAAAAGGAGGCACTTTTTACTTGTGATCGATACAACTTTCTTATATATTCTGTAGTTGAAATAACTGAAGATTAGTCAAGTTGGCTAGACTACTCATCTTCTATACCTGAGTAACAGTAGGTACTGGTACTACACTGTGGCTGCTTTAGGTCTACAGGGGCCCAGGCAAAATCCAAGTTTTTATAGGACAAACAGGAACATTTGTTTTTTCTGTGTTTATTGTTCCCTGTACCAGTGGTCCTAGTTTTCATATGCTTACCTCTGAATCCCAGTACTTAAGTCACTGACAACAATTTCAGTGGGCGGGCAAAATCCTCCTGTAGGCTTCACCAATAATTTGCCAAAAAAAAAAGGCTGATGGATCACCAGTTGGAAGTTGTTTGTGGTGGGTAGGCATTGTGACAGATTAAATTATATGTTGTTGTTAAATTATATGTTTGATGTTGATGTTTTAAAATATATATCTGCTAATTGTAGGTATACTGACCATCTTAAGTTACGTAATAATTTTATAGCACAAATGGATTGTTTTCATAATTCTGTTCTTAACTTCTTTGTCAGACACTTTAGAGAGCTGCCACAGATATCGGTGACCCAACTTTTAACTAACAGGGGCGGATCCAGAAATGTCCAAAAAGGGGGGGGCCGGAAGGGGGGGGGGGGGCGAAAGTTGGGCCGATTGAGACAACACGGTCGTGGGGGGGCCGGGGCATGCCCCCGCGAAAGTTTTGTGTTCTAGACGCCCGAACATAACATTTGAGGCATTCTGGGCTATCATTTTTTTCTTTTTCTCTCTTTTTTTCTTTTTTTTTTCTTTTTTTTACCTCCCAAAAAGGGGGGCCGAGGCCGGGCCGGCCCCCCCTAAATCCGCCCCTGATTATTGAAGAAGAGGAAGCTGTTTGGATCAATGAAAAAGTTTGGTTTCTCAAATCTGAGGTCGGGTTTTCAATCCTTCATGAATTTCATTTGTGTCCTTAAGCAAGGCACTTTAACTACACTGCTTCAGTCTAGGGTACTAGGTTGGAGTAACCTGTGGTAGACTAACATCCCACCCAAGGATCTCATCTCCTTTACTGTAGTGAAATTGAGGATAAGCTCCAGTCCTATGGGCCTTGCCTGTGACTCGGCAAAGGATTTCCCTTTTTACTATAATAAACAAGTGAAAATGGAACTTAAATGTTCCTCTGAAATGAGAATTCAGTGTATAATTGGATTTAATTGGTCAAGACCATGTCTGCTTACTCAAGAAAAATCCTTAATGTAAATAATGAAGCTACACAACACAATATAAATTTGGACCATTATTAAATATTAATACAGTATATCAAAGAAAACACCATCTAAATAAATGAGAAAACAACATCTAAAAAAAATAACAATTTTATTAGGGCTTACCTGGAAGTAGAACAGGTTTACGAGTTTTGAGACCTCAGGCTCCAAAGCCTCAACAAACTTCTCATATATCTCCACCCTGTTAGGTTGTGAGTTAGATTTGATCTGTAAAACAATAATGCAATATTATTGGTAAGGAAATGACAGATATTTTCAAGTTTGGTTTTGTAGAAAAGTTCTGAACATTGAATTTATTTGCATTAGCAGAAAAGCAGATGGCCTACACCACAGCTTTAATATACAAAATGCTATTAATTAAATAATTCAATAGAAAAGAATAGCAAAAATAATAGTCATATACAATTGTTATTTTGGAATTATATTAATATAAAGCTAATAAGTTCTTATTGTTGTCGATGTGTGACTGAATCAAAATAAAGAATTAACAATAATAAAAAATAACAGTAACAATTAATTTATAACATTATTGATAGTGATGACGATGATGATAATAATAACTGCCCAAGCATGACTGACCAAATTTAAGAATAATAAAAATAACAATCAATATCGATAAAGATGACAATGATGATAATGACAATGAGGATGATGACGATAACAA